TTCCCCCAACCTCTGCTCTGCCCCCTGCCCCCCCTCCCCCAGCCTCTTATCTACACCATCAGGCATCAATTTCATTCTAACCTAGTGCAAAACTTTTATTCATTTTAAAATAAATAATTTTACCTTAATCTGATGGAGTAATAGGTAACTCACTAACAACATGCTTTGTTAGCACTCTCAATTTAAAAATTAAAAATAGTAAACAGATTTAATTTTATCTATTGATTATAAGAGTTTTGATCCTGGTCCCAATTCCTAATGGACCATCTGAATATGTAGCCTCTCCCCCTCCCCCCACATAAAACAGCAAAAACCTGACCAACTGATCTTCAGAAAAGGCTATACACTAGGTTCCCAGTACATAAACAGTAGGGGAGGGGACTGGTGGTATGGTAGGAAATCACTGAGCAACAGTAGAATGGAGGAATTAATAGGTGAGAAATGAGATGATAAACTATTTAAATTGGTGTTTGCACTTAAGCAGACCAGATTGAGCCATTTAAAACCCTTTAAAATTTGAGCTTAATTTCTCTGCTGCATTAGAATTAATCACTGCAGTTTTTCTTTAATGAAGTTTACTTAACTGATGTTGGGCAAGATGGTGTGAACAGTTCTCAACACTAAGTTATGTAAAGGGTTCTGAGTACATATTATGAATTCTACAAATGTAACATCCCCTCTCTTATATTCCATGCGCACCATCATTACTTTTCCTTTTCTGTTTGTTTCCTCCAAATTCCTTACATAAGAAATGAAATAAATGTAATGGTTCTAACAGTATTCATAGTAAACAAAGCTCTGAGCATTCAAGGATGAGCTTTCTGTTACTTGCAGGGAATTTCATGAGTACCATTACAACCAAACTTTTTTTCAGTTTGACTTTTACTGAAACGTGACTCCTACCCTAAAGATAATATGATCACCAAATAAAGATCTAAACACTTATTCCTCAGCCTCAATTTCAGCTTTGCCATGTATAAAATGGAGATAATAATTCTGACCTTTTCTTATAAATCACTTGAGATAAACAGGAGCAAACTGCTACATGAGAGCGAGGTGATATTGTTTGTTAAAATTTCATAGAAATGGGAAGACCAAAAGAGACACTTTTCTGTGGCACATAGTTTTGTTTGTTTAGGAATGAGCTACTTGGCATAAATAAGGTATTTTGGTTTGATGTAGGTTTAACTTTACTGTATGTGTTATACAAAATCAGACTGGATAGTTTAATGATCTCTTCTGGTCCAATTCTATGAAAATCTGGAAAACTGGCACTTGATAATGCTGTTTTGGAAGGGTGATAAGAATGTAAAAACAATTTTAATCTCTTTCTATTAAGAGAGAACCCCATCTCTCTGGACAAAACTACTGTATCCTTTTGAATATCTCCGAATGCTTTATATAGTTCAGTTTTAATTTTGGGCTAGACTTAACCCTCAGATACTTTAGCATAACTGCCATTGACTTCATAACTTGTATTGATTGTGTGTGTGTTTCCACATTTATCTTGGGGAAAAAAATACTGCTCTCAGTTTTTGTCCATGCTGGTTTGAATTTATTTCATTATGCTGAGGGTAACTCTGAGGACAAAAAGGAAATGATCATATATCATTTTATCTGATATTGCATACTGTTTTCATTTGACAGATTGCTTATATTTGCATATTTCAGACCCTGAGCTACAATGTAACTTTGAAAATGGGCTGTGCAACTGGGAGCAAGACACAGAGGATGACTTTGACTGGATCAGAAAACAGGGCCCAACGCCAACGTTTTACACAGGACCATTAAAGGATCATACTTTTGGCACAATCAAGGGGCATTATCTTTACATGGAATCCTCAGAGCCTCATGTGTTCCAAAATACAGCAGCTTTGCTCAGTCCGATCTTTAATGCCACTTCCCCTGACGGCAATAAAAGATGTATTTTCCGCTTTCATTATCATATGTTTGGAAAGCAGGTTTATAGTCTGTCAATCTTCCAGAGAATTGTGAGCAATACCAAGGGACATCTGCTATGGTACAAGTTTGGAAATCAAGGCAACAGATGGATAAGACACACACACTACATTACTAGCCCTGACCCATTTCAGGTATGATTCTTTCAATCTATGATGATTTTGCTAGAACACTGCAAAATACCGAGAGAATATAAGATTACCCAAATCTAAAAAGCAATGGAAGAGGACTTTTGATGGAATTTTATTTTGAAGCCATCTTGTTAAACATGTTCCCAAATAGTTTGTTTTATGACAACTCCATGATTATAATTTTTGAATGAAAATGCATGGATTTAAACATCCATTACTACTTATTCTCCCTGAGCTGAATACAATGAAATGATGTGTGTGTCAAGTACAAAACAGCTAGGTACTAATTATGATCCATTAAAAATGTGAAGATAGAAAGAGTTTCCCTTTCATTTTCCTGAAAATATTTTCCTGTTGTAAATAAGAACTTTTATCTATATGATGCCATACTAAATATTTAGTACAAATATTTGGGTGAAAAGCTTAATATTTACATAAATTAAAAATACCCGTCAGTTGGTAAAATACATATTTTCTATAAAGCAGAATTCTACATCTAGTTCCATCCCCTCCCTCTCCCCTTTTTTAGGTTGCTGTATTATAGAAACTTCATTATTTGATTTGGATCACAGAATGATTCCACTGGATGTAGTTTTCCAGCCAGGTGAAATGAGATAGACTATGTTTAGAGAACACTTTCTAGCCCCCTCCCTGTATGGGGTGAGGAAATTGGATCCTAGGTAGGCCCACTCAGTCATGATTACAGCTCCTGAATTGTACATGTCTCAGTTCCAAATATGAAACAACTATCGTACAATCATTGCCCTCATGTAGGTCCATGATTAGGAGCTTCCAGTAATCAGTAGCACATGCCCTGTTCACCACTACCCCATCTCCGTAGGACTTCCTATTGAAGGAAAACACCTGCATATGTTTTCTTTCACTGTGGCAATGTTGTTGTGCATCAGTAACCACACAGTATTGTGGGGGAAGGAAAACAATCTGGTGGAACAGAAACCTAGAAAAATGGCGGTTTCTATTCTGCTGAAGCTTTCATTTGCCTTTGGAACCATTTTGAAGTATTCTTGCTTCAGCCACTTTCTCTGCCATTGAGGACTTTTTATTTTTATTTTTGGATTACTATTATCTGGCTCCACAATGTGTAGAGATGAGGGAGTAGGCAGCCTTGGGCTGCCTGCTCCCCGTCTCTTCATTTGTCCCAGTGCATGCTATTTTCATGTGCTTTGCACTGCTTTTTGTGACCTTTTTTTCCTATTGGGAAGTCCCCGTAGCAAACTTTGGCCTGCAAATTTTCAGGATGGGGCACATTTTAACTTTCACCAGGTATGGCTTGTAGTGCCACAAGCCACACATGGCTGCACACCTGATGCAGCCATGATCTACAAAATAAATTGTCATGCAGTGGCACTTGCTTTAGGGTATGGAAGGTGTGTGTGAGTCAGTCACGGCAGAGGCATAAGCAGGTTTTACATCATCGGCACTGGCAGCAGTAGATGGGATGCCAGTGGCAGCAGCTGCCAATCTTACCTATATTCTGAGTTGGTGCCCAGGTGGTACCCTTCTTTCCAACCCCTAATTATTCTGCTGTTTGAGTACATTTATATTACGTTCATGTTAAAGCACCCTCCTGCCCTGCAGAAGGAAATCTAAAGGTTATGCTGAGTGTCAAGAAGGGAAAGATTACACAGAGCAAACATTACTTGAATAGTTTGATTATTGTTGAATATAGAATATGGTTATTGACTTGTCCAGTTTTTGTAATTATAGTAATATGTACTTTAGAGTGATCTTCCTGACAGCCGTGCTTTTTTGTTTGATGATTTAATTGTTTTGGAGTGAGAGTTCAAAAGCAATTGCTTATTGAGATGTCCACCACTGTTTATTTCTGAGTTTTGCTTCTAGAATAGGGATTTTGAGAATGAGAGAGTTTAATCTGTAAGTAGAAAAGTACAAGTGGCAAAACATGTCTGAATTGTATAGGAGCCGGCATGTTTCGGAATGTTGGTATTTGAAATTGAAAAAAAAGTTTAGAAATAAACCATTTAATTTCAGAGTGTCCATTAGGCAGTCATGGTGTTGTTGGAGCTAAACGGTTGGCTCCAGTTTAGTGAAGGAAGAGGAAGTTTGTTATTTTGCTGCCAAAATGGGATAGTCATTTTGAAATTTAACTTTTTGCCCCATCCTTCTCATGTTTAATGTAATTGCTGCATCTTGTGTGATATCAAAGACTATTCTAATAATCTATTTTAGTGTCTGTATGAATTTGTTTTCCATGTGGCAACATTGGCAATTTGTTGAATGTATGTATTACTTCCTTAGCTAGCATTCATAAACTCTTGTTTTTTTTTTAATTTTAAGTAAATTATCGCCACTTTGGAAAATTCCTGTCAGGTGGGAAATAATTAGAATGAGGTCTTTGTAACCCAGGGGTTTGCTTAAGCATTAGTGAGTGGGTCAGTCTATAATATATCTATAGTAATATGTAGGTTCACTTCTGCAGTAGCCCTCAATTAACTTGAGCCATTTGAGCTGTCTTTCACTATCTGTATCATGCCTTTTAGCTAACAACACAAAGCAAAGCCCTTCTACAAATAGGTCTGTTGCAAATTGTCTTTCCTTCCAGAGTTTCTTCTTTATAAGGGCATTATAAATAAATAATGTGGTGCAGTAGAGTCAACATCAGAAACAAGGGAGTATGATATTGCTGCTGCTATTCATCTTGTCCTAGGGGTCTGAAGCATGTGGGGAAGTACTGAATATGCTTCAGAAAGTGGGGTGGGGTAGAAGACAAGTAGTTGTGGGCTGTGAATTTAGCAGGGCTTTCAGGTTCAGACTGGATTACCATTGGAGATTAAGCTAAATTGTTTACAGGCAACAGGTGTGGACTTCACAGGGAGATCTGAAGTATGTAGCCTGTACTTCATGGTTTTCCTCCTCCATCATGGAGCTGAGGATGGCATCCCAAGTAAAGGACAACAAGAAATTGTTTTTTAGATATATAGGGAGTAAAAGGAAGGCCCAGGGAGGAATAGGACCCCTGCTAAATGGGCAGAAACAATTGGTGATGGACAGGGGAGACAAGGCTGAACTCCTCAACGAGTTCTTTGTCTCAGTGTTCCTAAGCGAGGGGCGCGACAAGTCTCTCACTGGGGTTGTAGAGAGGCAGCAGCAAGG